GAGGGGATGATACCCGTTAGTTAGGAAAGGAAGGGGAATATAATACAACATACTTGACTCATGAGTGCGGCTGTATGAGTTTTCGATTAGGGTTCGTGATATACTTGTTTTGTTGTTCTGTGATGAGCTGTGCTGTGAGGGGGTATGTCTTTTGATGGAGAGTGTGGTTATGGGGATTATGGTATTAGGAAATTGCGAAAGCTGTATTGAACCTTGGGTGGATGTATAAGAGCAAGAGGTTGAGGTGGTTTGAATTGGATATTTGCTCAGTGTGCTGGGTAGTCGAGTGAAGAAGCAAGTGTTTATGTGGTTATGTGTTTATGTGTTTATGTGTTAAGAGAGAGCATTTATTGGTGAGCGAGGGGATATATATATATATATATGTGTGTGTGTGTGTGTGTATGTGTGTGTGAAGATTCATCTGTATGTGGTTTGCTGGCTTGATTTTGGATTTTGATAATCTTGGTGGTCTTGATGGTCTTGATGGTGTAGGGATTGAGGATGGGGGTTGAGGATGGGGGTTGATGAGAAGGGTTGAGGATGGGGGTTGATGAGAAGGGTTGAGGATGAGTGGTAGGGGTTTCTGGAAGAGGGGAAGGGCGGGATGGAAGATGAGGGGTGGGGAGGAGTGAGAGTGTGTGAGAAGGGGCTTGGGGTTTGAAAGGGGCTTGGGGCGGCTGTTGAAGGTTGTTGAGGGTTGAAGGTTCGGAGGTGGGTGGAGGAAGAGAGCGGTGGTTTTCTCGTTTGTTTTTGGACATTCGATGAGGAGAGGAGGGGAGGGAGAGGGATATAAATACTTTTATGTCTTCTGCTCTTCTTCCATATCGTGATTACCTAAAAAAGGGAATCTTCCGATTTGATGGACCTACTCGGATGTGACTTGTATCTCTAAGTACGTAGGTATTCAATGGGAATCAGGAATTTTGTGGGATCATATAGGATTATATGAGATGAGATGAGATGGGATGGGATGAGATGAGATGGGATAGAGGATTGAAGTTTCGATGAGCGAGCGAGTGCTATTTCTTTATGCATTCTCGTTGTAACATGTTGCTGCTAGTATCGTTGATCTTCTTGATGCTTTTTGTCTTTGTGGGAATTGTTTATGTTGCTGAGATTTTTCATGGATAGATTTTTTTCTTGTTGTCATCGTTGTTGTGAGGGTGCTTACTTACTCCTGCGAACTGCGGTTCCTCTACATTTGGTATTCTTGACTGGAAATTGGGATGAATGTGAGAGGAGAGTGCGGAGGAGGAGTGTTTGTTTACTTGGGATTTGAATCACTTATTCGATATCTTAATATCGATGGTCATAGTGAGTGTATGGTTGGAAGTAGACGGGAAGAAATGGGAGGGGTTCTTTATAGAATCATTAGGTAAGTCTTACTTCCTTTTCCCGTTTGGGCTGTTCGTCGTGGCGGGTTGGTATGCTGGTGTATGGGATGGGGGTTGGTGAGTACACGTGGACTGCTTTGATATCTGTATAGATCTCCTCTTTTCATTATGATCATCGGTTTTTGATTTGGAATATCGTACATTCTGCGATTGGTATGTAGGTATCACGTGGTAGATGCTGAGAAATCAGGAAGTTTCGCCTGGTTGTGTATAAAAGGAAGTCATAGATTGTAGTTTGATTTTGTAATTGGGTGGTGCTTGCATACTTCACATATTTATAGGTGGAGTCAACGAGAAAGGCTCTTTTTCTGTTGTGTTGTGTTACTTTGGATGGACTTGGGAAAAAGAGAAGATGAATGGATGTTTGTGTGGGTGATGAGAGTATAAGAGTAAGAGTGAGGGGTATGAATATCGATATCGATATGGCTAAAGTTGCCATTGTTGACATTTTTACTGCCGTTATATTCATTTATTAACTCGGTATGATTTCTTGTTATCAATCGCTCGTCGAAGCTCTATCTGCTGTCATCATTTGTCAATCCCACTCTTTTTACACCATCGCTGTCTCTATCACAGTCTCTTTCTCACCAGTATATCTCTTGGATCTAGAAATACAGTTCACATGTTTTATACAAGCAAATTGGAAGAGTCGTATGGTAATGGAATTGTGCTTTTCTTCCCTTATAATCTTCGGCTAGGAGAAATTGTGTGTATCTAGAGAAAGGAATATCTAGATATGTCTCAGGGTAATTTATAGAGACATGGGGAGATGCAAAAATCAAGACCGAGAGGAATGGGTTTAGAAGTATGGTTCAAAGCTATGGAGTGGAGAGAGTGAAGGGATTCAAAGGGGGAGAAGAGAAGAGAGCCCATAATAGAGTTTAGATAGTTGTTTTCATCTCTTAGTATTTTGGTGGGAGGGAGGTGAGTATATAAGTACCTTCCTTCATTTTGGTAATTTTTTTTAGCTTCATGAAACTTTAGTGAGATACTTGCAAGGAATCGAGGACTGATGATCTCTTCGTGAGTTCATTTGTGATATTTAGAGAAAAGTAAAAAAATATGAGAGAGTGAGAGAGAAGTTTGATTTGGGTTTGCAAAAAGACTTGAAATTTCGATAGTAACAACGTTCATACTATTGTTGCCATTTTTTGAGTGTTCACAATATCTTTTATCGTTGCTGTTCTTTAATTGTAGTGCTCTGCTTTCAAGATTTGGCAATGGTTGCTGTCTCGCAAGCTTAAGTCCTCGGCTTAGCTGTCTGAATGAATATGGTGCTTCAGACGCTCGCGTTGCGTTCTTACTGTTCCTTAGTAACCAAGGCCGAGCAAATCCTCCGTCACTGTTAGAGATTGAAGGGAAGAGGAGCAGGGCTTTTATATAAGTCGGAACTGGTACTAAATGTCCGGGAGAGTGATTAGTGAAAGGATGTTTGATACCGAGTAGTGTGCACTTCCCTTCTCCTTGTTTGTGTCTGGCAACTCTCATCATATACATATACTCACACCCATATGTATATAAATCTGGTGATTTACTTCAATAGTTTGAATTTTTAAAGTAGTATTGCAAATCTCCTCGAGAACGGAGAAGAAGGCATAGGAGTTTGCATCAAAGTTTTGATTATTCTTCGGATGATTATTGGATAGTTCTTTGCAAGGAATTGTAAACGAATATGTGTCTTGACTTCTAAGGGGCAGGCAAATTTGTGTCGTTATTTATAAACGTTCATATTGATAAATACCTTCGCTACTATTATTTCTATTGTCACTTACAGCTCCACTATCACAGTTTTTTGCATCATTCCCAAAACCCAAGGATTATACTCTTTAAATCTGGGCTCATTACAAGCACAACTGAAGCAGTATCAGTGCGTCTGGTATATTGATTCTTGTTAAATGTTCCTTTCATGTTCAGTCATGTGTAGACATTGGATATAGAGCGTGGACGAGATAATAAAAGGGAGGGTGAGTGGACTTTTATAAGAGGCTGTGATGATAGTTTCTACTTCGAATCGTTGAGGTGTTGACTGGATATGTAATCAGATTGCGGTTGTTTTTAAGCGACCCTTCTCTGAGTTTCCCTATAAACGTATATATAGCATACCACTACTTTGATAAGTTTTAGCTCCATAGAATTTCTAGCACCAATAACACTTCGCCCATAGTTATTAAAGTCACTTTATTAAAAATATGCATGCCTACGGATGGGATTACATCAAAGCTCCAGTGGAGAGAGAACGAGCAGAGTAAAGATCAAATTTCTATTGTCGTTTATTTGGTCGACTGTCAACTTTTATTCTCGTCGTTGATTCTCACAGCCATCTTTACTTGGTCCGCTCACTAAGTTTCTAATGGAGTCGTTTATTGATGTCTGCGAATCTTCTTACAATCAGCATGAGATTCATAGTCTATGAAGTTCGATACTGGCAGATTATCAAATCGCGATGGTATTCACCCATTCGGAGTATTCACGTATGGCTTTATTGGCATAAATATCAAGCAATAGGGATGTTATGAGCTTTTTTATACCGTTACGTGAAAAATTCGACATCTGATACTAGAACAAGTTTTTGTCACAGTAGAATGGTGGTTGCATGATGAGTGAGCCATCAATTTCACTCCGTGGACGAGGGGTGACAATCAGTAGACAAGTCAGGGAAGTTTTCATCACGATCTCGTATCTTTTATTGTTCAAGTCTATGAAGATTGAAGTTGCGTTTGACCTACAATCTCGCAATATTCTTTGCAAGTGCTGCTGCAAGTCGGAAACCGGCATTGAGAATTATACCATCGGATATGTTGAACTCTGTTGCTTGTCTGACCCCGGCGACTTTTCGTTACGTGATCGTCAATCAAATCTATCTATCTGGTTCCAGACAAAGAAGAGCTTCTTCAAAAATTGAATAACTCAGTTCACAGGTGTGGCAATTGAGGAGACTACGATGGATTGAAATTCGTCGTGCGTTGTGGATTCGCTTCCAGATATCTTGCATTTCGTCGACTCATAGAGTTATTTGTGGTTGACGAAACTTGCTCGTATGACATTCATGGTCTAATTCAAGATAAGAGATCAAATCAAAGGATAGGGAGTATAGATTTATCGGAACATGCCATAAATCGAGATGTGATTCTTTGTTCGCCACGTGCTCAAAACTCTTCCCCTTTTTCTTGTCATTCGATTTCTATCTCTGGTTGGGATTCACACGAGGGGTGTGATAGCTCCCAATTATCAATACATCAGATAGTACCACTTCAGAGAGCACACCACTTTGGAATTTACCGTGATTTCAAATAGACTCCTAGGTAATTGTTTTACTTCGGGTGGTTGGTATCATCCGAACGATTCGGCCTAGATTTAATTCGACCTCGCGTAACTTTCCACATGGTTTAAACGGTCCTAACCATGGGAAGACTCCATAAACACACAAAAAAGACAATTGTAGGAGAGATTAATTGAAGGTCAATTCCGTTATATTACATAAAGAATTATGCAATAGGAGATCGACTACTTTTGACTATGATTGATCAAATTATAAATACAGGGCTTTTGGCTCGAATTATGATGCCATAGCACGGAAAGTACTCCTCATATTATCTTGACAAAACTATGAAGCTATTATATGCAGCAACAGCTCTCTACCTTTTGGCTCGTGAAAAGCTAGTTGGAGCTATAGCCACACAAAATGATCATACCGCACAGTTCTGCTTTACACGATACAGCTCCGAGAGCGTATCTTCTATTTCGACTACAACACGCACAATCAAGATTCCATCATATACTATTTCTACATATCATCCAGGAGAGATGATAACAGTTACGCCCCCGCCGACAGTAACCACCACTACTTCTATTTCCGTAGCCACGTCTACGCAAATTGGAGGAGCTACCCAAACTGTCACAAGCAATGTTATCTCTACTGGCACGGTTATCCAGACAACAATCCTATTTGAAACAACAGAAGTTGGTCCTACTGTCACTATAACAGCCGCACAATCAACTTTAACTGTCCCTGCATCTTCTGGATTTCTTCCTCTGGCAAACGACCCTTATGTGATAGCCAATGGAGGGGCTGGAGGGGCCACCAAGAAGCGTAGAGAGGCCAACATACACTCAGAGGTCAGTATTTGGATGACAAATGATCAAGAAATAAATTCACTAACCAGAAATACACCCTCTAAGCCAACCAGCCCCAATAACCGCCGTTACCCCTACCATCATCCTCACCAAGCTGCTAATCCAGAGCTGGCTGATTTTTCAGCTCCTGATCCTAAGGATTTCGATATTAAGGTTAAGCCAAAAAGGTGATGGTTTGATTCGTGGTGGAAGGGCACCAGATATCCTTCCTCGGTATATTGTCGAGAAATTGTCAGGGTTACTCAAACACAAATAATCACTCTTCAGTCACAAAGAGGAGAAACTACAACTTTGCCTCCGGAAGTTGCAACTTCCGTCATACTGTCAACATCAACACAGTTCATTACATCGGCACCAGCTACCACTACTACAACAGTTGTCCAGATCGAAAATGTAACCTCAATAACCACCGAGAAGGATGTGATCACTCATAGTTCACCAACTACAACAACCACATTCCCACCACAAGCTACAATATATGATATGTGCCAGGAGAACAACATAGTAGCAACCGTAGGAGGGGCTACCATCGACTACTCCCTACCTAGCTATGGTGAATCCAGTCTTCAACTTCACTGGACATGTATCGCGGATCCTTATGTGAAACCATATAACTGCTGTGCCATATGTGCACAGTCATCTACATGTGTTGGATATTACTACAATACAGATACAACGGCCAATCCTGGTCCTGCAGTGACTTGCTTCACTCATGAAGCGACAGATGGTGTTTGCGATCCCTCTGGACTTCGCTACGTCTTCCGTGCAGATCCTAAGCGTAACACTCTATCTCCTGATATAGTCGGAAATGGAAATTGCGGTAAAGGACAACTTGATAATGGGGCTAGACCAACGCTGGATGGTAAATCGTGATTGTTTGTGTTCATTGAATCTTAGAAAAACAGGAAGAGTCTTTGATCGAACGATGAAAGTATAGTTTGTGGACTGTTTGTTTTCCTCTCGTTTCCAGACCTCAGTTGGGCTTAACATATAAAACATATGCACAAGTAGGAGCCAAAAAGAGATAATCTGGAGTTTTGATTGCATGTAATTGAATGTCGGATGTAAGGATGCCTTACAAAAGTAAAAGTAAACCATGTATCAATATTTTATATTTAACTTTGAAATCAAGGTAAAACAAAGATCAATGGCTGTCTATCTTCTGATGAATTGGAACAAAGGAATATATATGGGATCCCAGCTGCAAGGCTCATTAGCCTTGCATTTGAACAACTTATCTATCATTCAATGCAATGCATTTTCTTAGATAATCTTCCAAATGTGAATAGTTTGGATAGCTAAGTCTCAATCATTGAGAAAAGTTTTGCCGGATTAAATGAATTTCGATTCCCAAATATATACAGAAAGAAGTGAATCCAGCCCAAGTATCAGTACATTTCCACATTCCCGTATTCTTCATCACCGCCTATTCACTCTTCTCAAGCTTCCTCAACAAAACTTTCGTTCCATGTCTTGGGATAACCATTGTGGTATATCCCATGGTAAGTGCCTTGTTATCATCCGCCAATTTAAATTCATAGTTGGTCAATAAGTGGGCCAAAATTTGTTTCAATGATGCGCTGACGTACCAGCGGCCAGGACTGATGAGGTGTTAGTTTTGCTCGATGTATATAATAAGAATAAAACAAAAGGATGTACTCACCAAGCTTTCTTACTAGCCCCCCAAAATGGAAATCCACTACTAACATCCGTATACTTCATCCTGGGTTCTTCTCTCCCTCTATCCTCCGGTAACACAAATCTGAAACCATCAAAAGTTTCCGGATCATTGTAATACCTAGGACTCTTCATCAAAGCATCCTGAGGCACCGCAATAATATTCCCTTGCGGAATCGTCTCACCAGTCGAGAATGTGAATGGTTTCATAACTTTACGTTGGATAGAAAGCGCATCTAATGGGTTCACGCGAGCTGATTCGCGAAGGAAAGATTCCATCAAAGGCATGTTCTTGTACTGCATTTCCTCGGGTAAGGATAGCATGGAGCGGATTTCTTCAGTGAGCGGTTCGATGTATTCTGGATGAAGACAGAGGTTGTAGATTGTGAAAGTTAAGACAAGAGGAAGTTGATGGGCGGAGGCGAAAGTGAGGGCAATCATTTGTTGTACGATACGCTCCACGGTGCGCTGGCGGGGAGTTGTGGATGATTCCTAAACGAGGTTAATAATTTTCGGCCAGACAATGTGGAAACTGAGATCCTTACAATGACCCAAGTTATACAATCAGACTGTGATTGATAAAATTAGCAAGTACTAGTTGAAAATTCTCCAAGATAGCTTACAGGTAAGGTTTTCTTCTCCTCGATGTCTCTGAGACGTTGGATAACCAAAGGTCTGATATGCCCGGCTATTTTTTTCATTGCACCACTCCAAGCCATGATTGCGGGGCAGGCGTATCTAAAAAAAACAAAAAAGATCAGAATTGGATATTTAACAGTACAGAAACTGGAGTACTCACGGAATGATGAATGCAGGCATGTAACGACAGAATTCCATAGACAGAATAACATCGTTCGAGTATCGTAACACGGCATCAACATAATCTTGGTTGTTGGCTAGGTATTCGTTAGTGAAACTAAACATCAAACAAAATCTCGGCGTATAGGCGTACCAAGTTCATCTCCAACGAGTACTTGACAATTGATTCTCAAACCGATAGCCTCAGACAAGCCTAAGACAGAAACTGAAGTCCAATCTACGTCAAATTAGAATGGCAATTTCTCAACGGTAGTTTTCACAGCAAGTTCATTACCATTGACAGCTTTTCCTTTTGACAAAACTTTACTAAAAGCTTCCTCAATCTTCTCCTGAATCCTGGGTCTCAGAGCTGGTTGATTCGTTCTCAAAAGGAACTTAAGAACACGTCCTGGTATAGTATCATGAGGATCAATCTCTCCTGTCTCAAATCCATAGAATGTGTATTTCGCTTTGACTCTCTATACATCACATTAGCTCAATCCTCATGGCACAAGTAACTTCTTCTCAAAGGGGACGGGAATACATACATCTTCCATAGCATCATGTAGGGACAAATGATCTTGGGAACTCTCATTTACTTCCGCAATGTGTGCCTCAGACGAAACAAAGACTTGATACTCGTCGAGAGCGGGGATAGCAAATGGTTCTCCTTTGGCCTACAATCCAGTCAGTTTTGGATAGGCCATAGACTTGGCATTGAGATACCAGATTTCAGTACCTGATCATATGCTTTCTGGATGATATCTGGAGCACTGAGAACGTATTTTATGCTGCTCAACCATTTTCCCCAACGCAACTTAGGTCCAGAAATGAGTATGTTACGCTATCCAATTTAGTAATTGTTGACATGGTGAGTAGATGAAGGAGGACTTACGGGACGATTGCGGTAGATAGATGCTGTGACATAAAGTCTATTCAGAATGATCAAAATTACACAAGTATCAAACACCACCTCTGAAGTTATTCTCCAAGCACCCGCTTGGGAGCGAGCTAGGTCAAAAAGTTCCTGAAGCATTTTGATGATACAAGTCGAGGTTTGAAGATGGCCGACACGAAAGATCACGAGAAGAGAAGCAGATGTATACTGCGTGGCAAATGTCCGAATCTCATTCTCAAAGAACTAATTTCCTAACTGGGAAGGGTGGGGGCGTAAAATTGTGACTTCACATCAGGCAGAACAGATGAAATTACCGTACCGTACTCTAAGCCTTGCCGCGATAGCAGACATACAATCGACGGCGGTGAGATAGAAATAGCCGCTGCCAATTTCACAAGTGATGAACCGATTGTGATATTAAGTCACATAAGTGTCGGAGGCAACATTAACTCCGACATACTCCACTACAGCTGTAGATAGTTCATTAAAACTTAATCGTTCCTTCACCCTAAACAGGCATAACAATTTGATGAGCGGGGCGGACTGTTTAGAGTATGAAATATAGCTTCGGTAGTCAGCCCGTTTTAAGAAACTCGCGACGTTGAAGTGGAGAAAAAGTTCGTACCATTGGGATGAATTTGATCCGTGTGCATGAAGTATCTTGAAGCCTACGATAGTGCGATAAAAAACTCTAGGCGTGTGAAATGCGTTTTAGTGTGTGTGCGCATTAATTAAGCGCAATCGATTTATCTCGACCATGTTCCTGGAAATTGCGCACATCTTCTACCGGAGGATTCTAACCTGGAGAGATTGTGTACCGTGAAACCCGTCAATTTGGATGTCATCACAGTGGGATGAAATGTCGTTGGTCAAAATAAATATCGACGGAATGATTTTTGTCTAGTGCCACGTGCGGCTAAGGCGTTTTTTGACGTTCAGGGGTAATAAAAAAGTGTGGTGGAGAACATGGCACTGGATTTTCATAATCAGGGTTAGGAAACGATATTCTTCAAGGGTGTCGAATTACGTATGGTGAAGCATATGTCAGCGTAGCAGTTAGCAGCGGTGCTCCCATCCGATGTAACCAATCTTCTTTTAGATATTAAAGTATGGTTGCAATGGGTATAACGTACATCGACATAGCGTGGGGACAGGGACTGGACACCGGTATTGCAGTATTGGTGTAATTGATATTATTTCTCATAATATAGAGTAGATATTAATTTGCAGCGTAAATGTTATGTAAGAGTGGGATAACAGGCGTGGCGTGGCGGCGTGGTTGCATTGCATAGTTGCATTACCTTGATAGCTTAACTATTCATAGAACGCTTGAAGTAACATTGAAGGGATTGATTTCTAAAATCAGCCTTTAAGTTTAAATTGCTGATCATTGATCAGCAATTCCTTGCACTTTTGTTTGATCAGCCCTCGTAAACATCTCAATCAGCTCAGCTTAGCGAAAGTTTAGAAAGGCGGTTCTGTGTTTTTGTGCTGTGAGTCTAGCCGAGCTGAATTCACCAAGCAAGCATCTAGCCCAGGCCAGGTCAGGGGTGGTTTATACCAGGGTATGCGGGGTATGCATGCGCCTGGGATTTCTTCGTAGAGTGCGGATATTCTCCAACAGCATTACTTGGAATGATACCAAGAAAAATGAAGTTGTTAGATTTTCTTGCGAAAAGATTCCCATATGAGGTTTTCCCTGCAAAGTGTAAACTTTGCGAGAAGTTGATTCAAGATTCTAAGGCGAATTGTGGTGTGATTACTCATCTATGACAAGAACACCAGTAGGTGTACGGACTGACGGGACACTTTAAGAATCGATTTAGAAATACTGTATCTCTTGATATATCTTAGAAATAGTTACAATGTTTCATGAGAGATTGAACAATCAAGAGATTAATTTTGATATCAAACAATTGAATAATCAATTTCTTGGGAATTTCAAAAGTTGAGAAGTGTCCCGGCAGTCCATGCACCCACTGGTGGACGAAGCAATAATCCGATCACTGTGATATTTTGAGACTTGGGGACCAAGATAAAAGCCATATGTAAAAGAATCAAAAATGTGGGTATTTGCTAAATAATTTTTAAAATGAATACAGAACAACCCAAGCCCCTAAGAGAATCGTAATAAATCCGTTACGCATGTTATAATCTTTTCCTCGACTGTTCCAACCATTCCCACATAACCCATAAACCATACAATATATACAACATTATGACTGAACTAAACGTGCTCATAATATGTTCTCTCACGCTCTGGTGTCGTCGCAAGCTCATGAGTAACCTCGTATCGTTGCTTGACCCTGACATTATCCAATGGAAGAATGTTTTGCTCGCTTGTTACACTACTTCCTCCATCGGTAGGACTCTGGCTGTTCTTCGAATCCCCCGTGCGCATATAGCTGTCTCGACCGGTAAATGTATCAAGTGTTACCCTTAATCTATTTTTCCTGCTGTTCTTGGGGTAGATTTCAGAGCTCTTTGGTGGAGTATATTT